AGCAATTCTTGATATATTTGCAGCAAATAATATATACATATCATTGATATTCAGCCTATATATAAGTAAACGGAAACGATTAGAAATACATTGTCCTCTCCATTGTTATAAATACAATGCAGTTCAGAAATTAAACTCGGTTACGCAGTTCCTGGTCCACTATAGTACGATCGTACTTGTTTAGATGGTGACGGATGGTGCCATTTAGTAGAAATGGACTGCTTGTAACGCCAAATACCACTGTAAGAAATCTATAAATGATCGTCTGCCCTGTAACTGAATCATGCCATAAGAACCTAAGATAGTCCCGATGTTCCTCGTCTATAGCAATGTTGAGAAATGCTTGTCGTATATCTGCTAGTAGCCCTATTTTATTACATCTAAATCTTACAAGAATATCAAATATTTTTGCAATCAAATTAGGTCCAGCATGAAGACATTCGTTTAAATAGGGTCCATTTGTCTTACAAGAGGCATCAAACACGGCTCCTATTTTTGTGGTTTGTCTATCCTTGCAAATTATGGGCCTATGAGGAAGATAGTGAGTAACACCTGCTTCCTTAGCTATTTCAGAGTAACACCTGCTTCCTTAGCTATTTCAGCCTCGGGAACTTGTTCAATGATACCATTCTGCTCATATTCCCTGAAAATCAAGTCGTATTCCTTTTCAATACCCTTTTGGACTAAACGATCCTTCAAGGATTTTAATCTCGTTTCACAGACAAAATAGTTGTCAGGTAAAATATCATGGTCGCGTTTAAAGGGTTGTTTAACAACATATCTTTTACCATTATGTATGACATACTCTTCAAATTTACTTATACTGTCCTAAGAAGGACCTACTTCCTCAACTTCCCAAAATTTTTGTAAATGCTGTTGCAAATCATTGTGTAAGGTTCTACCAGTGGCGTAGCCAGCATCGATAATTGGGGGGGCCCATATTCATATATTCATGTTAACAGACTGTAAAGACAATTGATTTGAAAAGAAATCAAACCTGCGCATCACGAATATATGAATATGGGCCCCCCCAATTATCGTTCTGGCTACGCCACTGGGTTCTACAGTAGTCCGCAATAAATGTGTTTCTACGCTACTAAGTGATTTGTTTTAGTAAACAGTAATGATGATATTAATTCTATCAAACAAAATTGAGGGTTTGTATACGATCTGAAATATAAATATGGTCTTCCGCTTTGTGGTCGTGCGATTTTTGTAATGACGCATGAGCACTCCACTTAGTGCAATTACCATTATAAATACGCATCCCATGTGACACTCACATGACATTCTAGCCACTGATTGGGTGGGTTAAAGTTACAATCAGAATTTGTTCTTTCTAGGTTTTAAATCTACATTTCAGTGCATCTATCCGTTATCCTTCCTGAGAATTTTGACCATGTAGTGGAATCATCGCTTTGAAGATTTGAGAAGGTACGTTTGTGTCAGTGTTAGTTACGTTCTTCGAATATTAACAGTATGAGTGTCTATTGTATTCTATTGAGAGGCACAGTACAGAGCTGTGACGTCATTACGTTCTTCGAATATTAACAATATGAGTGTCTATTGTATTCTATTGAGTGGCACAGTACAGAGCTGTGACGTCATTACGTTCTTCGAATATTAACAATATGAGTGTCTATTGTATTCTATTGAGTGGCACAGTACAGAGCTGTGACGTCATTACGTTCTTCGAATATTAACAGTACGAGTGTCTATTGTATTCTATTAAGTGGCATAGTACAGAGCTTTGACGTCATTACGTTCTTCGAATATTAACAGTATGAGTGTCTATTGTATTCTATTGAGTGGCACAGCACAGAGCTGTGACGTCATTACGTTCTTCGAATATTAACAGTATGAGTGTGTATTCTATTCTGTGGCACAGTACAGAGCTGTGACGTCATGTTAAATGAACCGGTAACCAATATAGAAATAATTCATAACACGATTGCGAGGCTCAGGGGCTAAAATCTGACAATAATCAAACACTAAACAGCAAATAAGACAGATTAGTTGTTCTGAGACTAAGGATCGATCAATACAGTTTTATTTTAATACAGTTTTACTCGATCCCTGAGCGCCTAATAATACTGCGTAGACTTACGAAAATATAATAACCCAGCTTAATTGCTTAAATGTTTCGGAGGCACAGCCACTAGTCTGAGAAGAGAAATGTTTTATGTAGTGTTGTTTGTGAAAATAAATTATTTGCTGAAACAGCTTTTCAAAATTATCGCTCGAACTAAATGAAATTTATAAAAAAACTTCAACGACAGTTTACAATCGGAAATAAAAAAAATCAAGTAGTAATAGATCTTAAATACACGAGATACTTTCATAAATTATTGGCATCAAAATACTTTCAGATCATACTATGTATGAAAATGAGAACAGGCTTTCAAAATTTATAATATCAAGAGAAATCCCATTTCCACACACAAATAAGACAGCAAAATGTTTATGGAAATTCTCAAATTAAGTTCATGTGAGTTTGTCATATGGGTGGTAGCAAGTCAGAAAGGTTACTCCTAAAACATATGTCTCTTCAAAAAATTATTTTCACAAGAATTCCCTTCGTTTAACAAGATCCTTGCGACTTTCTTTTATAAAAGTCTACTCAATCCCATTCTTTTTCTCGGTATAGCCTATATAATTAATACAACAATTTTGTTACAGTAATTAACCCTGTCTAATGCCATGGCTTCTGACGAACTGCAAGAAAAAGCAAATTTTACAAGACTTAGTAGACTTTTAGTTGACAAAGGAACTGAGACTTTGAGAAATAAATTTGATAACATCCATCCACCTGTTAGTCTACCCGGAGTACTGGCTAAAAAAAAAACATCTCTTCAAAAGTTAAAACCTCAAGTTATTAATAATTCTCAGTGGGATTTACTGTTTCCTCCGTCTGGCAATCCACCAGATTCCAAAAGCTTTGATGTCACATTACTCACAGTTCTATTCCGGAACATTTGTGGTTTTCCATCAACAGGATGGGATGTAATGCCTCCGGATGCTGATAGATCAACGCAAGCGAATATCACAAGAATCAAGTGTTACAGAAATGAAGTTATTGCACATGTGACAACAACTCGAGTTGACAATTCAACATTTCAATCTTTATGGAAGAAAATTGCCCAGGCATTGGTAGAATTAGGGATATCACAAAGCGATGTCGACGATTTAGAAAAATGTCCTCTAGGACCCGACGAAAATATGTATGTAAAAATCCTTGAAGATTGGAAACAGCGAGAAGATGAGTGTATTAAAATTCTTGCAACAATGAATGTTCTGTAAATCATTTAACACAAGTCGCTGAAGAAACGTGCGATGGACTAAATGAATCACGAGATGTAATAAATGAAACGCACGATGCAGTAAATGAAACGCGCGATGCAGTAAATGAAACGCACGATGCAGTAAATGAAACGCGCGATGCAGTAAATGAAACGCGCAATGCAGTAAATGAATCGCGCGATGTAATAAATGAAACGCGTGATGCAGTAAATGAATCGCGCGATGTAATAAATGAAACGCGTGATGCAGTAAATGAGACGCGCGATGCAGTAAATGAAACGCGTGATGCAGTAAATGAGACGCGCGATGCAGTAAATCAAACGCGTGGTGCAGTAAATAAAACGCACGATGCAGTATTTGAAATCTGCCATTCATTGACTAAGCGTACGCAATCAATGCCTGGGGACACTATTCCTGAAAAAGAATCCCGCATGGAAAGTGATGAAGTTTTATTGCGAAAACTTGCTAAGCATAATTTTAAGGGAAAAATTAAAAGAAAAGTGAATTTTTTCCTTCCGGGAACAAGAGAGTGGTTGTTAGAGAAAGTTAAGGAGTGGTTTCAAAAGTGTGACAGCGATTCAAGAATAAAGTTAATAACAGCTGGACCAGGATTTGGTAAAAGCGTTTTTGCCGCTAAAATCTGTAAGGATTTTGAGAAAAATGGAAAATTGGCTGCTTGTCACTTTTGTGATTTCAGTGATTCAAACCTAAGAGATCCTATGGTGATGCTGCAGTCTCTCGCAAGTCAGATGTGTGAGAATGTCCATGGTTTTAAAGAGAAGCTTCTTGATCAGTTAAAGCGACCTCATCAAGTCAAAACCCTCGAAGATGCATTTCGAATATATTTGCAAAATCCCTTACATGAATTCGAAATAAAAGAGCCACGTTTAGTCGTGATCGATGGCTTGGATGAAAGTGCTGCAGATAATAAGAATGAAATTACGCATTTGATTGCTGAATATTTTCCTGATCTTCCCGAGTACATCAAAATCTTGGTGACGAGCAGGCCAGAGATTTCCGTTGCTGATCTAAGAATAAGAAACGATCAAAAGACGAACATTCCGAATGTTAACGCCAACAATAACTCAGATCTTGAACTTTATTTTAAGGAATGCCTTCCAAGTTTAGTCGGCAGGGAAGTGGATGAAAGTGATAGTGATGAAAGTTATGAAAGTGATATTAGCGATGATTTCTATGAGGATCATACATTAGATTTACTTTCCCCTTTTGTTGCCAAATGCCAGGGCTCATTTCTCTACGCATATCATTTTCAATCTGGGCTAAGGGCTCGCTATGATCTTGAAAAGATAACAAGGAATGACGTCATGGAGTTTCTCCCAGAAGGTCTGAATTCTGTTTACGAACGATATTTTAAACGCCTTGAAGACGAGCTTAACACCATAAAAGATGAAAAGTTCGATGTGTTGAAAATTTTGGAAATGCTGGCTGCTTCCGAAGGATCTCTTCCCCTCACTTTCGTCGCTCAGGCTTTTGGTTTAGCTCCAGATTGTCGCGAAACGAAAGTCATCATCAAGAAAATGAATGAAACCATATCATGCTTGTTGTACGTTTCAGATGACATGTTAACCGTTTTTCATAAATCCGTTATTGATTGGCTTCTAGCAAAGGGCTACAAAGATCACCAGTATACTGTTAAGGTCGATGATGGACATAGATTGCTTTGGCTTTTATGCGAAAAGGTTTTTAAAGAAATTAAAGATAAAGGTGTTCTTTCAGGACTTGAGGTGAACTTTACTAATGACGTGGAATACGCTCTGAAACATGGTTTAAAACATCTAGAAAAGAGTGAAATGGAGGAAGGTGTGTTTTGGTCAGTTGATGTTATTATCGTATGTTATATGTTAACTGTAAACGATTCAAGTAAATTGCGGCCTGCATTTCGTACCATGTCATTGAATTCGAGTCTTTTTATAATGCCCTGAGACCGATAAGAATGGATAAAAAAAATTCAAAACAATTTCTTTCGACAGTATTTTCACAATGGTATTTACAAGCGGTTCTTACCCATTCTCCAGAAGGTTATTTCAGCGATGATGAAAAGAAAATCACGGAGACACTACTATCAAACCTTTCACCTTTTGTCGAGTCGAATTCTTACGAAGTTTCGGTTTTGCCACGAGCAGTCTGGAAACACAGTGACTATGTTTGTATTACAGCTGTTGCTTTATCTAACAATTCGAAAAGTGTAGCATTTGTAAGAGAGAATTTTATCCATGTGATATCCCTACCAACTTTAGTTGAAATTATGAGTTTTTCAACAAAATTGGAAAGAATTCCATGCTGTACATTTTCTCCAGACGATTCGCTCATATTATTTGGTAAACTGGAAACGATGTTTAACATTGCTGAAAGGAAGGAAGTCCCATTTTTCCCTGGAAATGAACAGACGTTCGAAACCTGTGCATTTTCCCCTAAGGGCAAAAGACTGGTGACTAGTGACCGTTCAAACACCATTAAACTATGGGACGTTGCTAAACAAAGGTTGCTGTCGTCGCTTTTTGCTGGATTTCCTGTTGATTGTTGTTCTTTAAGCGTCACAGGGTTATTTATTATTGCAAATTCAGAATCTTCATCTTATCCGGGTTATTCGTTTTGTGTTTGGAACGCTATCACATTACAAAGAAGTGATAAGCGAAAATTATCTCACGTGGAAAGTGTGAAGCCGGTTGTGTTAAAGAGTAGGAAATGTGAACGATGTTTTCAGCGGGGATTTGAGAAACCAAATATTAAACGGTTAAAAATATGGAAGTGTTGGGGTCATTCTCATAAAATTTATTGTCCATGGATCTGCAAAGGTGTGGAGTGTATTTTTTCTTCGGAAGAATTTTGTTATTCGAGTGACACAGAAAGTATTCCTTTGACTGCGATTGTTGCTTGGAACTATCTTGTTTCTGCTCCTCGACAGATTTTTGCTAATATGACACTTTTCGGAGATAATCTGTGGCTCTATTCAGATAATGAAAAACTAATTGTCTTTAAAACATTAGTTCCTAAACAGGACCATTCCTGTCTGTCACAGGCAACGGAAGTTTTTTCGAGTTCGTTTTCTCCTGACGGTTCTCGACTTGCATCCTGCAACTCAGATGGATATATCAACGTATGGAATGTCTATAGCAGCCAAGTTGAACAACGTTTCAAAAGCAGGCAATGCAGATCAATATTTTTATGCTGGTGGTCGGAAGATTTCTTGTTTGTTATTAGTCCATTTATTAACGGGATTCCCAAATTAACGCGATACCCGGTAGATGACAATTTAAAGATCGTGTTTACTCACAGTCAGGACGTGGCGCTGTGTCATTTATCTATCAGGTCTGACATCCGATTTTATACGCTTCGTTTTTCTGAAGGCTTTGTCGGCTTGGCTCTCGGAAGGAATGAACCCGTGAAATTTATCGATGTCAGAGATGCTGATGGTCCTGTAATGGTCAATTTGCCTGGAATTGAGCCGGAGATGGAAGTGGAAATCTCGCCCGGTGGTGCCTTTATCTCTGGTTGTAATAAGAATAAATGTTATATTTGGAAAAGAAATACCGAAAACCCAACTTCATATGAACTCTTTTATCACTGTGAAGCTGGAAGATCTGACAGAGATCGGTCTGTCATCTTCCCTTATTTCGTAATTTTCAGTAATGATTCCAAAGTCGCAGTAGTCGTGGACCACAGTACTGATAAGAGTCAGATAATTGATCTGGAAACTGGTTATTCTCAAAATGTAACTCCTGCATTCCGCCCCATTCCTTTATTGAGGTCATTTTGTATTCACAAGAGTAGAATTGTATTAACTTTATCTGATCACATGATAACATTTCATGACATGGACTCTGGCGCGATTCTCGACGCTTCCTATCAACCATACTTCAAGACTCTTTGGCTACGCGAAACAATTCAACTTTCCCCAAAAGAAGACGTGCTGGCTTTTCCTGACAACAAAGGTGATATGGTGTTTCTTCGACCAAATCCTTTGTTGGACGATATTAAGCAGTTGCTTTCAGGGACGATATTGAGCGAGGTGCATTAGTTTAACCGCTTTTAACCGGAAAAAATTTTGTTACATGTAGAGTTTCCCCGCAAGTTGTTTATACCAATTAAATGCAAATAACTTTGTTCTTAAAAATAACTGAAGTGAACTCGTTCACACTAGGACGAAAACCAATAGGAGAAGACTTAGTTGATAAAGACTTTGTTATGAACGACAGATGTTTTGAAACTGAGATTTCGGTTAGGATATTTCATAATGGATTTAGTGAACAATGCCTTATAAAACTATCATCAAGAACATTGTTTTCGGGCAGCGGCTAGACTTTGCTTGGAGCTGGTCCAGAATGGAGAAGTAAGACACCTCCTTCCCTCCGTTTGTCTGGGAGTTCACCTTGGGCAAGTGATAGCACTCCCTTGCCTCCCTAACTGGGGTTACAGTTTGTTAAGAGGAAATTTCTTATTATGTCGTGTATTTTGGCGGGAAAACGTTCAAAACATAAAATCTTTTCGGCGTTCATTTATTTTACCTTTATTCTTTAGATTATGTTGTATAATTTTCACAATATTTTGAGATTATACTGTAAACAAACTTTGTAGATGCCTTTTAGGTTTGCAAAACATGATCAATGTTGAAAATTTTAGAACCCTTATTTGAAGACATAATATAAACTGAGGTTTTAAGCATTTATAACGCGACATAGAAAAATATCTTCTCTTAAACAAAACAAAGATGACATCTTGAATACATCTGAAAACAAGAAAAAAAGAAACATGTCCTAAGTAACTGTGACCAATGCCAGTCGTATGATGGTGTTGTTTAAGATGTTCATTATGGTAGTTACAATCATGTTGGTGGTGATAATTCTCATCTACGATGTTGGTGATCGTGTTGGTCTCTAGGATGGTGCTGATGGTAATTGCGCTGGTTATGAAAATAATGATAGAAATTTTAGTAACTATATTAGCTGTATTTTGTTCCTGAAATTTGATGCTGATGAAAAAGAAAGATAACGGAACTCAGTGATGTCATGCACTAGAACGATAATTGGGGGGGGGGGTGATACATGCACTAGAACGATAATTGGAAGGGGGTTGAATATTCATATATTCAGTTCTGCATGCCCAACGGGTTTCTTTCGCAACTGCATGCAATAGCTTAGAATAGTAATATCATGATCAGCTCGGGTTCTATTGTTTAGGGCGGGCCTTTAACTCCTAACTCCTAATTTATAAATCGCCCGCTTCTATGAACATGAGCAAGCATGCAAGCAATGAGATGCACATATATGAATTTTTAACAATACATAAAACCAATTATACGCTACGTCACCCTCGCTGATCATGATATTACAAACTAATATCATGACATGAGGGAAATTAGTGATTAAATGCCCCCTCATGCTCGGGAGGTTTGTGTAATTCCACAAATTACACAAACCTCCCTCGCCTTCGGGTAGAACTGAATATATGAATAAACACTACCTCAATTATCGTTCTAAATTACGCCCCTGGTGGAACTAAAGGGCTGTTTACATGAGCCCGGTTACCCGAGATTCAACGAAGCGTGAGATGATTTTGAGGTATTGAAATGAGCAGATAACATGATCTTGGCAGTCGTATAATCACCAGAACAATAGCATGTGCTTGTTTGGTGTCATAAAGACTTATTTCAATACCTCAAAGTCTTCTCACGCTTCGTTTAATCTCGGGTAACCGGGCTCATGTAAACAGCCCCTAAAAGAACTATGTACATTACAGGGACATTTTATTATCTGCATGGAAGGGAAGAAATTTAAAGTCTGGAGCGGGAACTGGAAAATTGTAAAAACTTGAAATTTAAATAACATTATGTTCAAGACATCTTATGTTCATGAAAAAGATCACGAGACAACACAACAATTTATACCTTAGGCGTGTTTCAAACGTCGTTATTTTGTCTTTAATGCGTTCAACATTGCGAATTTAGAAACCCTACAGATGGTCGGTATCATAATTTAATATACTGAAGCTTAGATTTTTATTTAACACTATAGGTAGCTTATTTGTAAGCAAACTAACATCAAGTGGTAAATTAGGATTTTATGACTTCGAACGTGTCTGGTCCACACAGGAACACATGACAAGAATATCGCTGAATATTTAAATTTTTGCCTAATATACCAGTATGTAATTTGTAATTTTGTAAACCATTTCATGATTTCACTTCGTTGACTGTTGTTAAAATTCTTATTTCGGTGTTTGACTTACATCCCTAAAGTTGTCTCGTGTGATATCAACTTGGAGGTAATTATACCAAGTACCGGTTGTTAAAACTAATGGGATGACTGTATTTGGCTACGTTATTTATCCAACCTTGCGAAGAACAATATTTGTCTGGAGACTGGATCAAAACTTGGTCTGAGTAATCTTGATATTTGTTCCTTTTTTGTGAACGTTTAAATTTCTACACATTGAAGATAAAATTATTTTTCAGCCAGCATCGGACCGTAAATCAATTAACTTTTTAAATGTATTTTGTGAGCTAGTTTGAGGCTGGGATGATTATTAAAATGCTGATGATAAGAGAGAGTCTCCTTTTCAGGCAAGATGCATTTTGCCTTCTCAAATTACACCCGTGAGATATTCAATATTGTCCAGGGATCGCGGAGGGAGAGAGGGAGAGAAGGGGTGGATAGTTTTATGTTTTGAAAGTTTTCCTCAGTTTTTCTCTTCCGCACTGAATTGCAAGGAATGTCTTAAAGCTGCAACATGCATCCAATCACTTTTTTATTGCCTGGCTTCTTAAGGCTGTCTTTCACTTAAGCTGCGTCACACGGTACCGGATCCACTCATCACGACATCTTCGTTTGCCGTTATGAAGCAACCATTATAAGGTAAATACTTATTAATTTGATAAATTTGGTATATTTATTCAGAGCTCAGACATTAAAAAACACCGCTGTCTTTCATTAACTTAAAAATTTGACCTGATGGCAATCCAGTACCGTGTGAACGGGGCTTTCAGCGTTTTTCATACGCACGTACACCCACTAGTGTAAAAGGACATATATACGTTTTCCTTGAAATCTTTTGAATTGACCAGGCTTTTGCTGCAAACTTCTTTAACAATTGTGTCATCATACATAATTGCAGTGTGAGCTGAATTAAATACATATGCAATAAAATGCCCACTATGAACAAACGGACCTTTATGAAGAATTGCAGCCAGCAACGTACAATCTATGTCATTTTCATCAAAATTTCGAGCAGTCATCCCTCTTAGATTTATTTTAAGATCACATAAAACTGGCGTGTACACTCGTTGTAACTTTCCAGACTGGTTGCATTGAATTCGATTTATAGAAAAAGTTAAAATGTTCGGTATGACGTCTATCAGTTCGACGTGATGAGCTGCAGGTTTGCAACTACAGCTTTTGCAAATTTCATCTTCTTCGGTTGTAAAGCGTCCAATAGAATGGGTCCAGAGCAGCGATTGCAGGTTGACAGTGTCACTTGTTAAAGGTATTTGAATTGGATAAGTCCACATGACAACACGCCTCCCGCTAATTTTTTGACAATCGGGTACGAGACATCGATTCAGAGTAAAAAGCTTCCATTGATAGAGAGCGCTCAATTCCTCTGACTCAAATTCAAAAAATTTCGAATAAACGCTTCCCAAAATCTGCGAAAAGCATTCACGTGCGTCTTTGTGGTCTTTCGTGTCTGGAAGCATTCCGATACACTGAGCAACTTCCAGTGGACCGTCGCACAAGCGGAGTGGAGGTACTCTCTTATTTGACACGTTACTTAGATTTTCCAAAGTTTTTGCAAGGCAATTTAGAAGCCCAGTAGGATTCGATGCATTTCTCCATTTATTCAATAGTTTTAGCAAAGGAGTCGAGGCTAAGCAATGCAAAACACTGCTTAACCAACAGTTCGACTTCTTGTTAACTATGCCTCTATTTATACTCGCAGAATCCACCACACTGATTTGCTGGTCATTATCGACTGCTTGAACTTCGTCATCTTCCCAAATAGTAGATACATAATTATTACTTACATATTGTCATATAGCTCCGAAATTTTATTGCTGTCAGATAGCTTTTCAATGCCTTTTGAGTTCAGTATATACCTCAAAAATGGGGTAAAATTTATAAAAATACAATTTGTGCAAAAGTAATTTGTTTCCCCAAGGATGGCCAAGTGTTCATTGAACTGAATGCAGTCTAGATGAAAGAAATCTCTACACAATAAACATTGAATGGCATTAACATTTCTTGACTGGCGACATATACAGCATGTCTGGTTGTGACTCTTTACACTGTTGGAAATTGATATTTTATTACCTTGTTCGTTGGCAGGTGAAGTTTGACTGACGGCCATGCCAATTCATGGGTGACTGTACATGTATCAGAACCAGTTTTGCTCATATATTTTTCTTGGTCTACTACATTTAACTTATTCCATCTCTGTTTGATTTCACTTTTAATCCCAACAAAATCCAATTTACTTTGCGCTGCAACGTCATTCCAAACGCTTCTTTCGTATTTATTAAAAGTAGCATTATCCTTGTTAGGTACCTTTCCTTGCTGTTTAGGTTGATTTGGCAATTCTGCATTGAAATTCAGTTTGTTCTGCAAAGTCGAAAGATATTTACCTTTTTTTCGTACACTTGATTTTGCTGGTGTTGATTTGTTCCATTGCTCTTCGGGACATTGCGTGTCACTATAACCTCGTCCACATCAGAGTTGTCAGAGGATTCTAAATTCGCAGACTTCTGTTTACAAAGCTGTTCCACTTTATCAAAGTTTTTTTTAGATGTTCGACCAATTCCTTGCAGAATAATGTCGACAAAACACCGCTGAAGTGCTTTATTATCCGCCCAATTTTCGCCAATAAAAGTGTTCACGCGTAGATGAGGTTTTCCCTTAAATGAACAATGCTTTTTATATTTGAAAAAGTTTTCAACTTCTGCGTTAGTGTTGTTATCCACTTGTGAATTCCTAATCAGCGTGCTAATAGGATTAAAAAACTTAAAGCTATAATCAATGTTGTGCCTTCGTAGATCTCCAAAAAGCAACCCTGACCAGAGTATGCAAGTGGGAAGTACAGGGAAGACTTTTTACGTGAATTCTGGTGTTTGATGTAGTTCTTTTTAAATACCCAACAACAGTGACTATTAAAATTGTGTAAGATGTCAGAGAAAAATTCAACATAATTACCACTAAAAGCTCTGTGATTATCAGATTTCCGATTTCCAAGAATTTCCACCACTGGTATTTCTCGCCATTGACAAGGTAAAGTAAACACGACGGTAAGTAAACACGATGATGACGGTTTCACCAACGTTGCTCTAAATGTTCCAGATGACGGTACGTTGCTGGCAGACAAGGTTTTCGCTGTCTTACTGGATACTCAAGGTATATTCACAAAATCATTATCGTCATCTTCTTCCTTTTCCAAGCGTTGATATGCATGAATTTAGCGAAGGACGGTCTTCAGCATTGTCAAGAATGTAAACATAGGGATGACTTGAGGAATTTGTTTGCGCTTGTTGAATTTCTGCAGCTGTTTCTGCGTTTTTTCCTTCTTCACGTTCGTTTTGTGAGATTGATGACGTTAAATTTTGTTCAACTTTGGAAGACGACGAATCCACTTTTATATCCACGTTAGTGACGTTACCAGAGCTGGTCGGTATTTCTGTGGTTATTTCCTTTTGATCATCTGAGAAAAATGCGTTTTCGTTGTAAACTGTAATAACAGCTTGCCCTATAACGTGACCAAGAAAATTAGCCATACCGCATTGATCAGCTTTCGCGTCAGGAATGGGAAGACGCTCATCGTCTTCACACCTCGTAATTTTCTCCCCCTCACATTTATTTGGCCTTGAAATGTCGAGTGAAGCGTTGCTCAAGTCGTTAGACTCTTCACTGCCTAAATCACCCAGTCGACTAGGACCACAAGCATTATTTGCAGCAGTTGTTTTAGCGCACCCCCTAATGTCCCCGTCGTTTTTCCGCCACAGCAATCGCAATTGTTCTATTTTTCTTTTTTCCACAGTCAAAGTCCTAAAGTAATGCTGCACAACAGATTTCCAGAACTCTTTCTTTGACGTTGCTGTAGAGATCGACAAACCCGCAATAATTTCTGCTAATCGTTCGATATCCAAATTACTCTCGTTCTTCCTTCCACCTCCCTTCAAACCATCAGCCGGTTGCCTGCGTTTCGACCAAGACTTTCCTGACACAGTTACTGCAAAATCACAGCTTAATTTTAAATTTAACTCTTCTTCTCTTTTTTTTTAACAAAAGAGCCTTCGGGCGTTTTTTCGCTGTTTAAGATTCCGATCGGGAGAAATGCCAGATGATCGATGACGATGACCTCGGAGAACTCTACCACTTAAGCTTAGACCTTTAAACTGATTATCACTAACCTTTCTTGAACGCGGTTTTCTCTCTGTGATTGCTGTTTTCATGCTCATAACCGGCAAGCGTTCCAAGTTTTAATGTTTAGATGAAAGCACTCGTATCATCGTATTAGAATGAATCTGACCAATACAATTAAGTCGGATTTTTTCGATGTTTAAAATCAAATTTAGAAATTATTAAACGCAAAAGCACGCGGTTAAAAATGTCTATGTAAATATACACAAGAACACATGGTTGTAAAAGCGCTACTACCCGAGTATCACCCGATCTTCCTGATGGGTTTTCCCTGAGATCAAAACAATGTGAATTATCATTGCCCGTGAGCTTGTTGTCAAAGTTTGTATTCTCGTGAGTTGTTGGCGCTGAATGTGAATCCCAAAGCCCTATAAAACTTTCATGGTGTAGTATGAATATAAATCTCAAGTGGCCATCTTTTAGAATTTTATATCAAGTCAAAACAGCGACGAAATCTGCGAAACAATCCGAGTGATGTTCAGTTTATTTGACATATTTCTGACGTTTGAGAACTTGAGCCGTTTTTAAGACCATGGTTTAGCGATGCTGTTTGCGCCGTGGAGTGAGAGAAGAAAAGATATTTTTAGCGTAAAGCATTCGAATGATGGCTAACAATAATAATATGGGGTTTTTGATTTACCAGCGTTGTCCGCTAAAGCGTGAATTTGCTTTAAACACGGCGGTTGTGTCCATCGGGTTGTTGTAATGTTAATGATGTCGGGTGGTGACAGAATTCTGACGGCTTGTTCTCTCAGGAGTTGTGCTCACTGGATACGAATCCTAGAACCTCAAATCTTTGTGGTGGAAGAGTGTGAATGTATATCTCAAATGACCATCTTTTAGAATTTTATTTAAAGTCGAATTAGCGAAGAAATCAGCGAAAAAATCTCGGCGATGAAAAGCGTACTTAACATGCAATGGCCGTTCGTCGATTTGAGCCGCTTTGTGTACACTTGTTTGACGGTGTTGTTTCCGTAGCATATTACAGTTAGAACAGATATTTTTTTGCTTAGAGTATTCGAATAACTGTTAGCATTGATGATATGACATTTACAGTTCAATAAACCAATGTGGAAAAACGAAAATTTGCAGAAACCGGGTTAGTTGCCTTCGCGAAGGGATTAAATTTATGCCACGGGTGCGTGGTTTAAATCAGACAGCTAGACTTTACAGAAGTTGCCTGTCGTGGTTTCGCAAGCTAGAAGAAGGTTAGAACTATAAGGATATTCTCATAAGCTTTCTCTCGAATGGCCATCTTTTAGTTTTTACAAAAACTCGTCGTAAAGCTAGTAAATCGAACTTTTATAAAGCCTGGCGGTCGCCCGTGCCGCTGACCAGTCAACTTTGCAAAAAAAATGGCCAACTTTACAGAGCTATTGCGAGCAAAGTAAATGAAATAAAACCCTCATTTTCGGCCGTGTTCTTGATAATATAACAAAGAAAAATGTCCTTTTTAAATTTTTTGATTTCCATTAAAAGCGAAGCGGCCACATCGGTTTGTTTAAAAACTAGCCACTCCAGCTCCGGGTTCGCTCGAGCCACAAACCACGAACCACGAACCCGGAGCTGAATATCTTGTCATTTTGAATGTATTTATGTATTAATAATTGATGTATTTTTGGATGTTGCTATTAAATAAGGTTTTTCATTCGTTAATACTATGCTTACTATTCTTCAAATGTATAATAAACAATTATTGAATTCGGTTTTTGTGATATGCAGAGTTATCAAGGTCTCGGTAAGCGTTATCAAAAACCTCATCCAATAATCGTTTATAATATTGTTGCTAAAATGCTAACGTGGTTGCTAAGGAGGCATTGATCTAGCCAATCAGTGCTTGGCTTAGCATCCGGGACTTGAATTATCCCCCATTATCGCGCTCCCCTTTTCGAATGATGTTTTCAATACCAATGTGTTATTTATAATCTCTATGGTTTCTTGGGTTTCTGTTTCTCTTTGAGTCTTTATATTTCTTCAAAGTCTGTGTTCGTAATTTGTCAAAATGATCGTATTCTTGGACTAGAAGCTCCCAAAGTGATCCTGATTCGTCGTGGGTGATCAACGTATTCATTGAGAAAGCTGAAGTTGTTTTAACAAGGTTTTATATCGGGTTGGGATAAAACGCGGATCCGGAATTGCGGATCCGGAATGCGGAATTGCGGATCCGGAATGCGGAATTGCGGATCCGGAATGCGGAATTGCGGAATGCTAGAATGTTAAATTTAATTTCAACATGTATAACAGAACTAAAGATATATAACAGAACTAAATTTCAATAGTGGAATAAACGTAGTCTTTCCAAATTAAGAAATTTTATTATATGAACATGAGTGTTATATAGAGTTTTACGCCACCGAGAAAAATTGTATTTAAACACACGAAAAATCCGATATTTTTACGATATTTTTACGTACAATATCTTTACGTAAAAATCAAACCAATCAAAAAATCTGTTGTAAAAAGCTCCAGTTTTTAAATTTATTTTTATAATTTGTTCATATAATAAACAGAATATTACATGGTTGCTTGGAAATACAGATTTATTTCTACTGTTGAAAAGAATATTTCGCACTCGCTCGCTGCTCTCACTCCCGAGCAACATTCTCTAAATAAATTGCATATTTCTAAGCAACCATATAATATTCTTTATATAGTTACCGACGAAGTAATTGGCAATTCAGGACTACATCCTTAATTAATTCCCGTCTTTATAAAATTGCCGTTGATTCGACACAGCTAATCGGGATTCTATTTTTTTTCTGATACACCCTGTATAGTTTAAATCTGGAAACCAGTATCTCGAAGTATGCGCAGATGCTCCGGTCTAAGGTGTTGGGCAACATTATTGGGTATTTTTGCCATTTGTGGTACAAAATAAGGCTGCTTTTTCCTTACACAATCCAAATTCATATGGAAATAAACATTTCCTTCTCTAACTCTCATTTCCCCATTTGCTGAATCACGAAAACTTCTATTCATTCTTGAGATGACTGTAAGATCGTCATATTATTTCATAGTTCTTTCGTTTCGTCTCGTATGGGATTGCACGTGCGGGAATTTAAGAATTTGAACGTGTAGGAATCCTTTAAAGTGCCGATTCCGCTTTCTGACGCCGGCATGTTACAGCAGTCAAGCAATTAATTAATTAAATGGAATCAGATGTCTTCGATCAGTCGGGTGCATTGTATTCGCTGAAAAATACCATGGTCGTATGGTATAAAACGAGTCCGGTGATTGCAAAAGTTTATTGTGAGGTATAATGTATTAACTAAAGTTCATGGTTCGCGAAACGCCCGTGATCTGGAGGTTGGGTGTCGCTATCAAGGTGTGTTTACAGGCGCTATTCGCGCAACATATGCTCATTAAACGTCATGTTATGCTAAACAGAGAAACTAATTCACAATACTGTAAGAATTTTCTCTTACAAGACAGTCCGGAACTATGTGTTTCGTGAGGGTTTTTTATAAACATTTATTCCAGTTGCTTTTAAACATTTTTATTAGTTTGACGCCGCATTCCGTTTCCGCAATTCCGCTTCCGCAATTCCGCATTCCGTTTCCGCAATTCCGCATTCCGTTTCCGCAATTCCGCATTCCGTTTCCGCAATTCCGCATTCCGTTTCCGCAATTCCGCATTCCGTTTCCGCAATTCCGGATCCGCGTTTTATCCCAACCCGTTTTATATCGACGCAGACAAGTACAAAAACAAAGACATACTTTGGGCTAGTCGTGGTAATACAGACTAGACAAGACCAGATTGTCGAAGGTATGTGCTAGATTCCTTGTAAGATTTCTCTCATATTGCGATATACGTATGCGGCCTTTTCTATTTTGCTTTAAATTACAATGTTTTGACCGGGTTGTTTGGTTTATATTGGCGTTTCGGTTTATCTTGGCGTTTAGTATATTGCACATTGTTGCTTATATATACAGTATGTCGCCCAGTTTATTCTTCGCCTTTTATCATCGCTCGATGGTTCAAAATTTCAAGATTTGTTGCCATATTTGTTTCGAAACTTATGTTAAAAGAAAATACGCCCAGCTTCGTTATTTTTCTTGCGATTGCTCAAAATCATCACGAATATTGTTGTCTAGTTTTCGGACAATCGCCCAGTTTTCGGACGGGCAATTTATACCCTCAAATGATCGTGATTTGACGCTCAGGTAAGCTGAGTTGAAATTCAATGTAGCATAAATATAACAATTTATTTTAAACAATTGTTAAAGTTAATGTTATTTTTCTGGCATTTGTCTATGGCACTTCTAATTTTAGAGTGCACTGCAGCCATATCTAGTTCTTCTTTATAATACACTCGTATTGCACTATATAATCAAAAGCATATTTTTGCATCATTTTGCATCTTCCTAAACGTTTTTGCAATGAAAAACTACGAGTTGCATTATTGCTTGTTTAACAGCACGCCGGTGTCCGAAATTAGGACAAGATATACAAAAATGGCATGAATGGCATTTAAAATCTCACTACATCGTAAATATGCGGAAAGAGTCGCACATTTTTACCTCAAACATAAAGGAGATTTTTGAACTCCTTTTTATGTAAAAATTTTTACATTTGGTGACTGGGCTTCTAAGAAATTAGTTTTTGAAATGTTCATACAAATTTGTGTCCCGGTAAACTACCCAATTTTGAAAGAAAAAATATTGACCTACCTTCGCTAAAAATGCATAATTCCGAGGAAAGCAAATAAAAAAAACACGTCAAAAACGCAAAGACATTCGCAACATATCAGAAAATGATCGGAAGATATTGTTTGAATTTTTCCTTTTGTTTAAGAAACGAAAATTTAGCAATGTATTAAACTCAGCTGTCCGAATACTGGTACAGTCATGGGCGTCGCCAGCTTGGCGTCGCCAGCTTCGTAAGTGGGGGGGACTTATTCATATATTCGTGTTTTACATTATTCATTTCTTTTCAAATTGATTGTTTTAACGGTCTGTGAACATGAATATATGAATATGTCCACCTCACTTATCGATGCTGGCGACACTGGGTACAGTCCGAAAACTGGGCTACATACTGTATATATTACTTAGTAAACAAAAATATTCACAATCTGATTTAGCTGGGTAAGGGAGAAATTTATTTTTCAACGTTTTGTAGTTAATATCCTCTGCAAAATAATACACCAGTCAGCGCTATTATTTTGTTTCATGAATTCTGCTATAAAATGGTCCTATTAAAACACATCTAATTTTCAATTTATATATATAGCACGGTAGTACTTCCCTAGTTTTAATAACACAGGAAATCAATTTTAATCAATTTCACTAATTCATTTAGACCAGAGTCCAGAAATATCTTTCAGGGGGAATATAATCATTTCATTCATTTCTTACATGTCCATTTTAAAACATTTTATTCGACCCATTGTTAGGAAAATTGTTCGGCAACAGATTTGGTTGAAACGATCCTGGGAACTGGATAATATATTCTAATATACTCTTCATGCAACTTCGAATGGTATTAAGTTTTATAGCTAAAACCCACCTGATCATGGTCAAACAATATATGTTATATTAATGCAAATATCACATAAAGACTTGAAGACTGAGATATATTTTACTAAATTTATAAATCATAATTTGAGTATTTTAGTTCTTTTAATCTTACATCCACATGCCATCACATTTTACACTTCCTGCATTTATTGTTATGGTTCCTTTCTCATGTATAATACCAGTTTGTATTCAGCAAATTGGCTTCTTCTTTGGTAATGGGGATATATTTGCCATCTTTCAGGCTATAGGTATCAGCTGTTCACTGTAAGATAAATTAGGAATTTTCATAATGGGAAAGGCAATAATATATGAATATTCCTTCAAGAGCCAGTTAGGTATTTAGTCTGGCCCACAGGCCTTACTAGGGTTAAGCTTTGCTAGAACCTTTTGAACATGTTCCTCGGTAACTTCTAAAAATTTAGGTCAATCTTCTAATGGAAGGCATCTAAGGGGAGTGGAAGATTTGTATTCTTCAAGTGGTGCAAGAAAGCTGTATTGATGGTATTTGCTTGTTCTTGTGGGGTTAGGTTTGAGAATCTTTCAACATTCACTTGACTTAATATATTAGAGCTTGAAGCTTTCAAATCCTGGGAAACCTTTCGGAGGGTTATAATATTTAGGCATGTTGGTTAATATAAGATCGCATCTTTACAGGTAGGTATTTTTACAATTTGTTTGAGACAGAAATGATTGAGCAAACAAGTGATATTGAGGCGATTGATGTCGCCAGTCACAATTAACCCGCCATTTGGATATTTTGATTCCACCAAAGTAAGCATTTGGACCAGGTAATCTTGCATTAATTTCCATCTGCACCAGGTGGGTGGTATATTACAGCTGCAATTATACAGTACAGGATGACTCTTGAGGAAGGCGACTAGGTCTAAAATAGACCCATATGGTCACAGCAAATTTTAAGCCTCAAGGCAAACAAACAATTCAGTTCGACACATACATACAAGATTGAAGATTGTTGAAGTCGAAAAGCTGTTATTCAGCAGCAATCTTATGTCAAATATTTAAAAAGCGAAATGGAATGTTGTCCTGGTTAGAGGCAATAGCACTACTAGAAAGAACCGTTACCAGTAAGATAAGGTAAGAAAGTGCATAATGCATGATAGGCATTCAGGCAATTCAAACTCATAACATTTCTATTGTTTAATTACATTTGAAATAACTGTTACCAGTAACATAAGAAAAGAGTGCATAATGCATAATTGTTATAGTGCATGGTAGGCATTCAGACTGATATCATTTCTATTGCTCAATTACATTTGGTGAAGTAGTGCAGCTAATCTGTGTTAACTATACATAGTATTCTGTACAGTGGTAATACTCCGCAAAATTATTATCTACTAGAAATACATGCATGCAGCAACCCCCTCGCTATTTCAAGCCAAATACACAATTTCCTGAGCTAACCTGACTTAAACTTATATTATGAAATGACACAAAACTCAAATCAGTCTTATTATATTTTACCGAGTGTATTCAATACAAAAATAATCATAAAGCTAGTGTAAACATAGCCTGTTCAATTTTGCTGCATTATACCATGGCAGCTATTAAGTAATGGTTTAAAATCGATTCAAGTTTCAATCGATTCAAGTTTTAAACGATTAAAACAGTACAAAATCTTCAGAGACAAAAAAAAGCCCGCCTCAAATGTTATTTTATTCTGTAATTTGTTTTATACTTTAATATAGTGTGTATTTTTAATATCAAAATTCAAATTACACTTTCAAAAACACTTTAGCCTTTCACAGGTTTATGCGTTGGTATAAAAAGCCGAAAATTATACAAAGCTGAGAATTAAGCAAATAAACGGCATACAAAGCTGAAAATTTTACAAATACAGCTCATCCTTACCGCGAAGCAAATACGAAATATACAAAGTATATATGCACGTACCCTTTGAAACCATTTATAAGCTTGGTTGACAAGAATTTTTTTTTTCAATATACACCGTTTAAATATGATCAAAATATTAACATCTATTCAATAAAATACGCCAAAAAAATAACAGCCCCTAAGTGTAGGGTAGTTTTACTAAACTCGTACGTCGTTTTTTTGCAATGAAACGCGATTAAAAATGAAGAAAATATGCGAAGAGTTTTTTTTAAATTTGCCGTGTCCCGATGCGGGATGCCTGTTGTCGTGCAAAAACATCAATTTCAAAACTCGTACACGTTATCCTATATTGGTCATCACAAAACGGTCAGAGCTGCATGACCAATAGGATCGCGTATACGAGTTTTGAAATTGATGTTTTTGCACGGCAACAGGTATCCCGCATCGGGACACGGCAAATTTCAACAAACTTTTCGCATATTTTCATTTTTTAATCGCTTTCATTGCAAAAAAACGACGTACAAATTTAGTAAAACTACCCTACCCTTGGGAGGTGTTATTTTTTGGCGTATTTTATTGAATAGATGGTAATATTTTGATCATATTTAAACGATGTATATTGAAAATAAAATAATCTTGCCAACCTTATATAATGGACCTTTTTCATAATGACGTCAAACGAGGAAAGTATGATGTTACACGAAGTTTGATCGGCTCGATAGTTTTGTGGAGCCAATCAAATTTCGTGTAACATCGGACTTTCCGCGTTTGACGTCATTATAAGAAAGGTTTATTATATACTTTAAACGTGACCGGCGAGTGACGTACGTGATGCAACGCGCGGTCCAAATATACTGAGACTGGCAAAAGTGTCTTGTTTCATCAAAAACCTGATTGTTGGGCTACCTATGATGAAACGCTTTTACAAAAAGGTTTACGAAATGACAGTTAAATTGCTGACGTTCTCATTGAAATATTGAAATACAAATTTTCTGTCATAGCCAATCGGAACGTTTGTTGATTACCAGTCTAAAGATATCCTCAAATTATGTGTTGAACTGAGATAATGCCTTTGGTCCTATAATTATATGTATTCTAATTTCTAGCGCGATTAAAGAAATCATGCACTATCCGTTGCATAGCGCTATCCAGCTTTCATGGACTTGAAATTGACCGTTATATATCAACACCACTCAAAGCGAGCTCGATTTGATATTTTGATACAAAATCAACTCAAAATATAGAATTTCTGTTCTTGGACAAATATTCTCAGAAAACCTGAAGAAACGAAGCGGCTTTATTGCGAACAGCAGTGTACCGAGAGGTTAGTTTTCAAAACACTGAGGATACTAGCTTCTACTATAATTATTATTGATGATTAAAGAGAACAATTCAGTTCTTTCCTATATTTCCACAGGCATCTAAGATGATATAGCCTGGTTGCTTAAAAAATAACCAAATTTACCAATGGCATTCATCTTGCTAAGCTTTTCTCAACCTTGACTTGAAAAATATTTCTAGATAGTTAATTATTAGATTGCTATTGGTTTATCTGTGGAAAATACAATAGACATGTGTGATGTGATGAGAAAGGAACAATTTTTTGCATAAATCTACCTCAACATAGTTAGTGAGTTGTATTGTAGTTTTATGTGGTCTCCAAAGAATATACATGGTATTCTATTAGCTGTGATTGCTCTTGGTTCTACTTTGGATGCACCAACTACAAAGTTATTGCAATTAAAATACCAGGGCAGCCTTGAATTCTTAAACCAACACAAAGTTTCATGTTTGACACACAAGCAGAATATAACCACATTCACAACCTGGTCAAACATATTGCAAGGTGTTGTTGTATTGGAAACATAGGAAAGAACTGAATTGTTCTCTCTAACCATCAATAATAATTATAGTAGAAGCTATAGTATCCTCTGGGGATACTAGACAGTTTTTTGAAAACTAACCTTTCGGTACACTGCTGTTCGCAATAAAGCCGCTTCGTTTCTTCAGGTTTTCTGAGAATATTTGTCCAAGAACAGAAATTCTATATTTTGAGTTGATTTTGTATCAAAATATCAAAACGAGCACGCTTTGAGTGGTGTTGATATAAAACGGTCCAAGCGCGAAGTTGTAAAATCCGTTTTCGCGGCGTTATATGAAGCCAAAATATTCCAATTTTTTTGCTCAAATTTCTTCTCATATGCTTCTATGTTTGTGATTGTAAAATTGGCCGGGGCAGAAACGTGGACAAGGCAAAAACCGCAAAAAAACTACGGTTCTGTAATAGAAATCTATATTAAATGATACGAAAGTGGGGCTTCACTTTTGCCTTCTATAGATGCCTTATCCAGTCTTATTTCAGATCAGTGGTTCTTTGCCGGTCTGGAATCCCCCAGTATTAAACCGTTGCCGTAGTAACGGTCCAACTCTCATATTTTTGAACAAAAACAAGCTTGCACTTTTATTTTTGACACGAAAAATATCGACGGAGAATGCGAAGAAGAGCATTATTTGGTACATGTGAATATCATATTTATTCATCTTTGATTTTTGTTTATATTACTGTATCATTCTTATTTAACGAGTAAAAAACAAAGTTTTGGAAGCCACTTTAGTGCTTGCTTGGCGACTGGCTGGCGAAAGAGCCGGCAAGAATGCTGCAGCGCATTGCATAAATAAATAAACTAAATACTGTATGCCATATAATAAATCCCTTATTAACCGAATACGTTCGGTCCGTACTGGAAAAATAGAGAAGAACATACGAGAAGAACAAACCCAGAAACCAGGGAAACGAGAGACGGCTACCCAGGAACGTGGACAGGGATTAAAGTCCCACATGTGAAACGGTTGCAGCAAGGGTATAGAACAGGGTACGACTTGGTGGTGTTGTTCGTGTTGCAAACTCGTGGTTTATTGCGGAAAAGACTGCCAGAAAATACACTGGCATGTCAGCGCATAAAGTACTATGTAACGCAATAAAACGCGATTTTGCTCAGAAAACAGTGGGCTTAAGTCCTAGTATCTTCGTTAGTCATCTAACACCGAGGTAACACGCGAAGGTAATTAGCCTTGTAGGAAGACAATGTGCCATTAAAGCGAAGCTAAATGAGAAAGCGGTCCAGATTCTATGGGACACAGGTTCCCAGTGATCGATCATCTCAACGAGCTTTTTCCAGGAGCTTCTTAAATATGGTGATTCGTGACGTAAGTGACTTGCTAGATGGTGATTTGAACCTGACCGCAGCAAATGATAGCGACATACCGTACAGGGGATGGATGGAGTTGGACTTGGGGATTGGAGATTCAGAACAAATTATTTCAGTTCCGTTCTTAGTTACTGATGAGAAAGCTGGACTGCCGTTAGTAGGTTTCAACCTTTTCGAACATCTAATAAACTAAACGATAGTGGAATAGCAGCAACATTCATTGAAACAATGATAAAGGAACAATGCTGGTAACGCGACAGCCTTTGTGAATCTAGTGAACAGTGTGAACCACGATGAACTATGCGTGGTAAAAACTTGCAAGAAGGACGTTGTCGTCCCTCATGGGCAATCTGTCAACGTAAGTTGCAGAGTCAACACGGGCACTTTAGATCAACGCACACCAGTCTTACTCGAACCGGATGAGAATCCCACCTGGCTAAGCGGCCTCCAAGTTTCAAACACTCTGTTAACTGCAAATGTGGGAAAGTCGAGTAGAGTTGGCATAGAAGTAGAGAATACAACCAAGCAACATCGTTCTAAAGAATCGGACAGTTTTAGGCCATTTACAACTTGTACAATCAGTCACTCCAATGGAAGTAAAGTTAAAGAAAGGAGACGAAGACACTCGGGGAGAAGATAAGCCGAACCCAAATAGAACAAGTATCCCCCAGCCTCGTCAAACCAGTCCGTCTTCGATCCACAAAACAGGAGAACCGTTAACCTGTTCTGTTTTCATACATAAAAAGCAAAATACTAACATAATTAGGAATTGGACAGCCGAGTGGTAGTGATACGTCTTTAGCAATAGGGCATTTAACAAATCCTTCTGTATTCTGCGCTTATAGGGTAAATTTGTCACCGTAAACGTGGTATTGCGCTTGCAGATTTACTGTAACCATTGTTTTGTTTTCCCTTTTAGAGAAAGTTTTCCAATGGCGGATCCTGTCGATGAAATTGGAAAAGCCGTTCATGGCGTTGCCCGTGAGGCATTCCATGCTACAATTTCTGGCGGTACATATAACATAACTATCGACGCCGATAGAGCTGTTGTTAGAGACATATTATTCGCAGCGTCCGCAGTGACAATCTCACTAGGAGCAATATATGCAGGTTATAAATTAATTGCACGAAAAATGGACGGGGCTGTTGATAAAGGCCTTGGCGGTGAAAGAGATGACCAAGATGTTCGGGACATCAAACCGAAGTGTCTACACGTCATCCTGCATTGTTTTACGGACAAAAGATTTCTGGAGGTTTTAGAAGATTTTAAATCTGGAGGAATGAAAGAACGCTTGAGGAGGGAATTTTTTAATATTGGAATTGAAACAGAGGGATTGACGGTTGAAATTGAGAATATCGAAGAAGTAGAAGAAAGAGCAGCGGATATAAAAAAGAGGTAAAATTAAAACAATTTTTCTCGATGCATGGCACCTAATAGTTGATTATATAAAAAGAAAAGAAATTGGATTTGGCAGGATAATTTTTTAGCCATGAAATAATCAATACATATAATAAAGGCTTCCCAATTCATCTGAAGGACATTGATTTATAGCCTACAGGCATAAGATAGCTACACCGTGGTTTAAATTTTGTCTACCAGTCTGCTCTGGCCTGGGTTACTGGGTGTAAATAATAGCATGTGTAAATCCAAATTAACAGTAACATTGGAAAGGATGATGGAAGTCATGGACAACAAGACAATGCAAGTGACTTGAATTTAGAAAAATCAGAGTGTTCCAGTGATTCACTAAGAGAATATGATGAAAAAATGGTAAGTATAAAAGTAAGTATAAAAAAAATTAATTTGTACCCAGGCGGCAGCAGCAGTATACTCAGCCACTATACAAAGATCGGTAGCCAAGAAAGCGTGAGGCGCGGGGGTGTTTCTGCCAAATTGTGTCGATTTCTGCCGAATGTGATTTGAAAGTACTTTTTTCTGTACTTTGATGAAAATCTTTAACAACTATGGACGCACCGGAAGAAAGTCACCACATGAAGGTATTTAATGCTACCGTTTTGTTTTTCTTTATTTTAATACGGCTATTTTTGAATATCCGATAAGCCAATTATCGTGTATTGGCTTTGCGCAATGTCACAGATTCTTTCTTTGTTCTATAATTTCAAGTAAATCAAATAATGTTTTCCTGGTTAGGAAAACGTACGCTAAAATGTAATAGGGGATTCTAAAAAGACAAAAACGGACATTCGTCTATTGTATATTTTTGTGTACTATTTTACATATTTATAAAATACCAGCCAAAGGCAGCAGTTTTTAATCCTGAATGATGTCGACATCTTTTCTGTTAAATGTATGAATATGTTCTGCCATAGGCGAATTTAGTTCTGATGATGCATCCTTTAAACAACTTTTTAAGAGTAAGAGTCAACAGCATTTAAGTATATGTTTATATTTTATATGACTCTTTATGAATAAGCTTAAGCAATGCTAACATATATTTTATAAGCACTCATGATACAGCTGAGTGTAAGGTTTATTAGGAGACATCAAGTAGATCAGTCAGTAATTCAAAGAAGCTTGGTTTTAGAAAACATCCATTGACACCAGAAGTTAGTTTGTGTTTATGAACTCAGAATATTTGGGTATTACTTTCATGTAAAGAATATTTAGTCTTAGTTTATTTTATATAGGGAGTTGAGCTTCAACGAATATTTAAAAAATTTGCAGTCAGAGAAGAAATGAAATGGCATCCAAACGTGATAAATTTTGGAGTACTGGGAGAGTCCAAATAAAAATGCAGAACAATTTATGCTGATAGAGGATCAAAAAGCATTTTTACCAGAAGCATTAAGTAATTATTTACAAAAATATTTCACGACTGGGGGATAACGAGCCATTCAGAAGGACATGCTTACCTTAGTTAAATTGCATTGAACTATAGCGACGGTCATCGGACGTGTACTTGTGAGCTCCGCTGAAATATTATATTATATCCTTGTTGATAAAACTATTATTACAATGCTTACAAGTCAAATAGAATACTATTGGAACGGATCACTATACGATCTGCAATCATTTGTTGAAGCTGATTTGGAATTAAATGGGAAATGGTCTTCACCTCGTGGTGGAAATAGACTGTTTAAAAGCGCTAAGGGCAGCTTTACATGGCAGGGCCCTTCAAGGAAGAAATTGGTTATCATGACCGACGACGAAGGTTATCTCACTAATGCGTTCAAGAAACATGCTGGATGTGAAGGCGATAGCACAAAACCTGTCGAAGTCGAATCAAATCAGGGCACAACAATGCAGTTCTCATGCACGAACTGTTCAAAGCATGATCTTTCCATTTCAGAATTACAGTTGGATGTTGCTATGTTGTCCGCTTTATTACACAAGGAGCAAGGAAATGTAACGGCTCAATCGGCACGTATTACAGAATTAGAAGTCCTAATCCAGAATCTGGTAGCCGAGAACAGGAATAAGCGATCGAAGTTGAGTAACTAGAGCATGCAACGGTGAATTAACTCACGAAAATGAATTTATTAAATATGTTGTGAAAAGTAAACGAGACAAACAAGATAATGGAGAGGCAGCAGAGTTGAAGGAAATTTCCCGAGGCTTAAACAAAGTCCATTATCCACATATTATTGTGGACACAATAGACAAAGGAAATATAAATAATAGGAACACAATAGGCGAACAAAGTATAAGAAACAGGGTAATCGAGCTTGAACCTGCCTTCGTGCAAACAAGTAAGGGCATTGTTGAGGCTTTTGCGGCAAATTCCTTGAGTTATAATAGCACCATGGTTACTAGTGGTGATCAAGTATCTGATGGGATTACAGATAATAGTTCGAATCACGAGGACGCTTTTGACTCTATTAAAAATACCTCGGTAAACGGTGACCCAAGTATCTGCTTAATCACAGACGACAATTGTCAAACAACACCGCCTGGTACAGTAACTCGAGTTATGATTGATACTCAAACGTCTTGTCAACAACAACCCATTCCTACTCGTATCACCGCAAGAAAATATGGAAGAAAGTTTCATGGGAAGTCTTATTTGGGACCACGTAATAAGGAGGGAAAATCACGTACTAATGATGGTGCAAGAAGTAATATAGCACGCCAAAAACAGCAAGAGACGAGAAACAGGAATGATAAAATAAATGAAGAGGGTTTTTGCGGCGAATCGTGGGGGAGAGACAAGATAAGTTGGTTCAATTTTTATTACTAGATATCCCCATTCCACAGCCTGAGACTTTTGTCAACGATGTGGCTAATATTCGAGGGGCAAATATGGAAAATTGTGTCAGAATTAAAGTAAGCAAAACTCAAGATGTCTCGTCCGGTAGAGAGAATTTATTACGCTTTGCCTGTGTTAATGCAAGGTCTCTGAAAAATAAAACAGCTGAGTTTGTGGATCATGTAGTAGGGAATAGTATTGACATATGTGTAGTCACTGAGACCTGGTTGAAAGATGCAGATTCTGTTAGCATTGCGGCGTTATCTCTATCAGGCTACTATTTTAGAAATTTCCCACGGCAAACTTATAGAAGGGGTGGCGGAACTGGCGTAATGTCTAACAGTCGTGTTGAAATCAAATTTATTAGTGGATATGAAAAAAATTCATTTGAATATTCAGAGTGGAATTGTAAAGTGTCCAATAAGGATATCAAAATTATAGCGGTTTATCGTCCACCATATTCACAGTGTCATGCAGTTACCTCGAATATATTTTTTGAAGAATTTTCTTCTTTCCTCGAAAGCATCGTTATGTGCAGGGAAATACTTTTAATAACTGGGGACTTTAATTTCCATCTCGATGACACAGCAAATGAAGATAGTAGAAAATTCATTGAAGTTTTGGAAACATTTGGCCTTATGCAACACGTTATGTTTCCAACTCATGTATCCAATCACATACTGGATCTTATTGTTACGAGATCGTCAAGCGATATTATGATTAGCAAAGTTCAGCCTTCTTATTTCCTATCCGATCACTGCTTTGTCGAATGCAGTTTGTCTGTGCCTCGTCCCAATCCTAAACCGAAGGAAATTCAATATCGTAAAATGCGACAAATTAACATAGATGCGTTCAAATCTGACATTGCTGCATCTAATCTATGTAATCAAACTTGGGATAACTTGAATGACTTGATGCAAAGCTATGATGAAACCTTGTCTAATATTTTAGAGAAGCATGCTCCCGTTAAAAGAAAGGTAATAATCGAGAGAACAAAACTACCATGGTTCAGTGACGAACTTAAACGTCTGAAAGTAAATCGCAGAAAATTAGAGAGGAAAATGTTAAAGTCGAACTGTGAATGTGACAGGTCACTGTATCGTGCTGCCTGTAATAAATATTCTGCTAAATTGAGGATGGGCAAGCGATTATATCTGAACTCATTGACCAGTGCTCAGGTGACTCAAGAAAACTTTTTAAGGTGGTGTCTTCTCTTTCCAAAGTTCCCAATGAAAATTCCCTGCCTCCGCATACTGATTTGGGTCAGCTTGTGAATGAGTTTGGCGAGTTTTTTCATCGAAAGATTGAACTAATTAGAACCGAAATCGATAGCATCGCAGTACAACCTCCATCTGTTGAATATTGGCCACCTGCAGCTGAATTTACATCATTTCGTCAGTTAACAGAGGAAGAAATTTGCGACATTATTATGAAATCATCAAAGGCTACTTGCAAATTAGATCCAATTCCAACCTGGTTAGTGAAATTATGCGTTGATGAACTGAAATCTGTAATAACAAAAATTATTAATATGTCATTGCATCATGGTTATGTTCCTGAAGCATGGAAAGTTGCTCTTCTGGTACCTATATTGAAGAAACTTGGTCTTGAGGCTTTATTTGAGAATTTTCGACCTGTGAGTAACCTCTCATTTGTTTCAAAAATTGCTGAAAAGGCTGTTGTTGGTCAAATAGTTAACCATTGCGAAGAAAATGCACCACTTCCTATTAATCAATCAGCTTATCGCCCTTTTCACTCAGTAGAAACAGCTCTTATTAAAGTTCAAAGTGACATTCTTATGAGCATGGATCAACAAGAAGTCACGCTACTTGTACTACTCGACTTAAGCGCGGCCTTTGATACGGTAGAGCACGAGATCATGTTAGAAATATTAAAATCAAATTTTGGTGTCGGCGGTACTGCGCTTGGATGGATAAAATCTTTTCTATCGGACAGAAAACAGTTTGTTTCAATAAACCAAGTACTCTCAGATAGTTTTCCCATGACCTGTGGTGTTCCGCAAGGAAGCTGTCTCGGACCGATTCTATTTTTACTGTATGTGTCGAAACTATTTGAAATTATTGGAAAGCATTTACCATCTTCACACGGATACGCTGATGATACCCAGCTGTACTTGTCCTTTTGTCCTGAGTCGCCTGTTTGTCAAAATGATGCAGTTCGGGCTATTGAAGCATGTATAACTGATGTCCGCGCTTGGCTGGTTTCTCAAAAATTAAAATTTAATGATCTCAAGACAGAATTCTTAATAATCGGCACTCGTCAGCAGTTGAAGAAGATTGAAATTAACTCTGTAAAGTAGGGGACGTTGGATATTAAACCTGCTGAAAGTGTTCGGGATTTAGGTATCTGGTTTGATAAAAACATGTCGATGGATGTTCACGTCGGGAAGGTTTGCAGCAAAGCTTTTAGAGGATTATATAACATCAGACAAATAAGGAAGTTTCTTTCTCAGGAGACAACTAAAATTCTTGTGCATGCATTTATAACCTCACATTTAGACTACTGTAATTCGCTCTTGTTTGGGATTCCACAGTACCAGTATCAGCGTTTACAAAGAGTTCTTAATGCGGCTGCAAGAATGATATGTTTTACACCAAGATCTGCTCATATCACTCCGGTTCTAATGAATCTTCATTGGTTGCCAATAAAGTTTCGAGTTGACTTCAAGATTGCATTACTGGTTTACAAAGCCCTTAACGGAATGGCACCTCAGTACATTGTTGATCTACTGTCGTATAAGCCTGAAAGCAAATACCATTTAAGGTCGGATAATTGTTCCTTGTTAAATATCCCGAAAACTAATGCAAAAACTCTTGGGGACAGATCATTTAAATACGCTGCCCCTCTCATATGGAATTCTCTTCCACTTCAAATTAGACAGTGTGAAACAATTAATTCCTTTAAAACTCAATTAAAAACATTTTTATTTAGGAAGGCATTTGAATAGACAAACTTCCTATTAAGTGTAAATATCGTGTTAATTTCTAGTAGGATAATTTTAGAATGGTTTTAGAGCATATTTATAACTGTAACTTTTAATTGTACAGCGCTTTAGAATATTTTTAACATAATTTAAGCGCTATATTTAAATGACTATATTATTATTATTATTATAAGCAAAAGGAATGTTATTATTGGAGCTAAAGATTATGCAATGTTGCATGCTTGCTGAAAACACATATAACCTACTATACTGGTTTCCTTACATAAAATAATAAAATAATAATAAAAGTGAACAGACATTCTTTGTGCCGTTAGCAAGGCACTGAAGTGTTTATTTCTCGTGTATTTCTCTAGTAAATTATGCGCGCACATTCATTCTATAAGGCTCAGCAAACATCCGCGTTTGTGGCGGACTCTATGATGATGATCTACGCCTGTTTTTTCGAAGAATTACTTTTTGGGATTAATTTTTTGAATTACTTTAATTTTTATGCAAGCAAAGAACTTTTGCCGAAAGAACCGAATTATGTACCTGACTTTCAAATTCTTCAATTATCTCCTTTTATACATTAGGCACGCCTCTCCTTGTCAAACAACAACTATTGTTAATAGACAATGAACGTGATTAGGGTGGCCGGCAAACTTTAAAGAGTCTGTTATTTAAACTTCAACCGATGTTGAATGTAACTTAGAGTGCACAAATATTTTGTCTTGCATAGATTGGCTAATCATTATTTGCTAATAGCTTAATTATACAGAATTAAAGTGCACAAATTTGTATAAATCTGAAAAAAAGATGGAACAATGTCTTTTTGATAAAAGAACTCGGCTTTTTTTCTGAACCTTTCAAACTGGACTATGGTATGAATTTCATATTACAATCCTGAAGAAAGTTAAAATTATTGCAATTACAGACTTGATTTGGTAATTTTACAGCAGCTCGTTGTTAGTTAATCAAACTCGAGGATCAGTGTTTTAGAATACAGCTATCATCGTTGATATTAACTTGATAATAGACCTATGCCAAAAAGAGCAAGAGGCCTGTTACGAGTGACGCGAGAACGAGGCTAGTCAGGTTTTCTATTGCCAAAATTTCAAAATCATTTTTATATAACTACCTAAATTTTGCTGGAAAAAATTTGTTCTTGTGTAGCTTGCAACCTGTGAAAAAAGTGAAATAAACGAAGGAATAAAAACAAATTCAGCAGAGAAAATCTGACTAGCCTCGTTTTCGCGGGACCCGAGACAGGCGTCTTTTTTGAATAGGTCTATTCATGAAAATTTATGTATAATAAATCCTTTTGTTTTTTCCACTAAAACTTATTTAAGGCTACTATTGCTTCCGGACGGTCACGATGGAAAATTATATCTATTTTTTACAGTACCTTCGTGCAATGTCATGGCTTCTGACGATCTGCAAGAAAAAGCAAATTTTACAAGACTCAGTAGACTTTTAGTTGACAAAGGAACTGAGGCTATGAGAAATAAATTTGATACCATCCATCCACCTGTTAGTCTACCCGGAGTACTAATTGCAAACAAAACATCTCTTCAAAGGTTAAAACCTCGAGTTATTAATAATTCCCAGTGGGATTTACTGTTTCCACCGTCTGGCAACCCGCCAGATTCCAAAACCTTTGATGTCACATTACTTACAGTTCTATTCCGGAGCATTTGTGGTTTTCCATCGACAGGATGGGATCTGATGTCTCCGGATTGGGATAAGTCAACGCAAGCGAATATCACAAGAATCAAGTGTTACAGAAATGATATTTATGCACATGTAACAACAACTCGAGTTGATAATTCAACATTTGAGTCTTTATGGAAGAAAATTTCTCAGGTGATAGTAGAATTGGGCGTTACACAGAGTGATGTCGACGATTTAGAAAAATGTCCTCTTGGGCCTGAAGAAGAAGTGTATGTGCAAAAGCTTAAAGATTGGAAGCTGCACGAAGATGAGTGTATTAAAATGCTTGCAACAATGACACAAATCGTTAAAGAAAACCGCGACGAGATAAATAAAACTCGCCAGTCTTCGGGCAATCGTAAGCTATCAATACCCGGGGACACCAATCCTGAAAAAAAATCCCGCATGGAAAGTGATGAAGATTTATTGCGAAAACTTGCTAAGCATAATTTTAAGGGTAAAATTAAAAGAAAAGTGAAATTTTTCCTTCCTAGAACAAGGGAGTGGTTGTTAAGGGAAGTTAACGAGTGGTTTTATGGAAGTGGCAGCCATTCGAGGATAAAATTAATAACAGCTGGACCAGGATTTGGTAAAAGCGTTTTTGCCGCTAAAATCTGTGAAGATTTTGAGAAGAATGGAAAGCTAGCTGCTTGTCACTTTTGTGATTTAAGTAAATCAATCCTAAGAGATCCTATCGTGATGCTGCAGTCTCTAGCAAGTCAGATGTGCAAGAGCGTCCCAGGTTTCAAAGAGGAACTCCTTGATCAGTTAAAGCGACCTCATCAAGTTCAAAATCTGAGAGATGCATTTCGAATATATTTGCAAAATCCCTTAGATAAATTGGAAATAAAAGAGCCACGTTTAGTCGTTATCGATGGCTTGGATGAAAGTGCTGCTCATGATAAGAATGAAATTACGTATTTGATTGCTGAATGTTTTCCTGATCTTCCCGAGTACATCAAAATCTTGGTGACGAGCAGGCCAGAGATTTCCGTAGCCGATCTAAAATTAAGAGACGATCAAAAGACAGACATTTCCAATGTTGATGACAACAATAACTCAGATCTTGAACTTTATTTTAAAGAATGTTTTCCAAGTTTAGTCGGCAGGGAAGTGGATGGAAGTGAGATGAGCGATGATTTCTATGAGGATCATCCATATCTTGACCGTTTTTGGCAAAATAAAACTATTAGTTTACGTTCCATTTTTGTTGCCAAATGCCAAGGCTCATTTCTCTATGCATATCACTTTCAATCTGGGCTAAGGGCTCGCTATGATCTTGAGAAGATAACAAATAATGACGTCATGGAGTTTTTCCCACAAGGACTAAATTCTGTTTACCAAGGATATTTCAAACGTCTTGAAGACGAGCTTAACGCCATAAAACATGAAAAGTTTGATGTGTTGAAAATTTTGGAAATGCTGGCTGTTTCCGAAGGACCTCTTCCCCTCACTTTCGTCGCTCAGGCTTTTGGTTTAGCTCCGGATTGTCGCGAAACGAAAGACATCATCAACAAAATTAATGAAACCATATCGTGCTTGTTGTACGTTTCAGATGACATGTTAACCGTTTTTCACAAATCCGTTATTGATTGGCTTCTAGCAAAGGGCTACAAAGATCACCAGTATACTGTCAAGGTCGATGATGGACATAGATCGCTTTGGCTTTTATGCGAGAAGGTTTTTAATGAAATTAAAGATAAAGCTGTTCACTCAGAACTTGAGGTGAAGTTTACTAACGACGTAAAATACGCTCTGAAACATGGTTTAAAACATCTAGAAAAGTGTGAAATGGAGGAAAGTGTCTTTTGGTCAGTTGATCTTATTATCGTATGTTATATGTTAACTGTAGGCTATTCAGATGTATTGCAGCGTTTCTGGCTCAAATTACTCCAAAGTTCTTGGGTTAAAAACGAAGATTTACGTGCCCTTATTTCGTACCATATCATTGAAGTTGGCTCTTTTGATCATGCCCTGAATCCCACGGGGCTGTATTACAATCTTTCAAAACAACTTTTTTCGACAGTATATTCACAATGGTATTTACAAGCGGTTCTTACCCGTTCCCCAGAAGGTTATTTTAGCGATGATGAGAAGAAAATCGCGGAGAGGCTACTATCAAACGTCTCACCTTTTGTCGAGTCGAATTCTTACGAAGTTTCGGTTTTGCCGCGAGCAGTCTGGGAACACAAAGACGTTGGTTTTATTACAGCTGTTGCTTTATCTAACGATGAGAAAAGTGTAGCAGTTGGAATAGATAATTTTATCCATGTGATATCCCTACCAACTTTAGTTAAAATTATGAGTTATTCAACAAAATTGAAAACAATTCCATGCTGCACATTCTCTCCAGACGATTCTTTCATATTATTTGGTAAACTGGAAACGGCGTTTAACATTGCTGGAAGAAAGGAAGTTCCATTTTTCCCTGGAAATGAAGAGACTTTCCTGTCCTGTGCATTTTCCCCTAACGGCAAAAGACTGGTGACTAGCGACGATTCAAACACCATTAAACTATGGGACGTTGCTAAACAAAAAATGCTGTCGTCGCTTTGTGCTGGATTTCGTGTTGGTTGGTGTTCTTTTAGCGTCACGGGGTTATTTATTATTGGAAATTCAGAATCTTCATCTCATCCGGGTTATTCGTTTTGTGTTTGGAACGCCATCACATTGCAAAGAATGGATGAGCGAAAATTATCTCACGGGGAAAGGGAGAAACCAGATGTTTTAAAGAGTAGGAAATGTGAACGATGTTTTCAGCGGGGATTTGAGGAACCAAATTCTAAACACTTAGAAATAATGATTGAACATAATACGATTTCGTGTCCGTGGATCTGCAAATGCTTGGAGTGTATTATTTCTCCGAATGAATATTGTTATTCGAGTGTCACAGAAAGTATTCCTTTGACTGCGATTGTTGCTTGGAACTATCTTGCTACAGCTCCTCGAGAGAATTTTGTTAATCGACTCAAAATGACACTTTTAGGAGATAATCTGTGGCTCTATTCAGATCATGAAAAACTAATTGTCTTTAAGACATTAGCTCATAAACAAGAGCAATCCTGTCTGTCACAGCCAACGAAAGTTTATTCGAGTTCGTTTTCTCCTGACGGCTCTCGACTTGCATCCTGCAACTCAGATGGATATATCAACGTATGGAATGTCTATACCAGCCAAGTTGAACAACGTTTCAAAAGCAGTCAATGTGGGTCAAGGTTTTTATGCTGGTGGTCGGAAGATTTCTTGTTTGTGATTAGTGATTTTAACAGGATTCTTAAATTAACGCGATACCCGGTAGATGACAATTTAGAGATCGTGTTTATTCACAGTCAGGACGTTGCGCTGTTTGATTTAGCTACCTTGTTTGACCGCCCATACTATGAGCTTCATTTTTCTGAAGGCTTTGTCAGCTTCGCTCTTGAAAGGAATAAACCCGTGAAAGTTCTTGATGTCAGTGATGTTGATGGTCCTGTAATGATCAATTTGCCTGGAATTGAGCCTGAGATGAAAGTGAAAGTCTCCCCCAATGGTACATTTATCTCAGGTTGGCATGGGAAAAAATGTTATATTTGGAAAAGAAATACCGAAAACCCAACTTCGTATGAAGTCTTTTATCACCGTGACGCTGGAAGGTCTGACAGATTTCCTTATGTCGTAATTTTCAGCAATGATTCCAAAGTCGCAGTAGTCGTGAACGAGAGTGCTGATCAGAGTCAGATAATTGATCTGGAAACTGGGTATTCTCAAAATATAACTTCTGCATTCAAGTCTTCTTATAATTTCACCACGTCATTTTGTTTTCACAAGAGTAGAATTGTATTAACTTTATCTGATCACCTGATAACATTTCATGACGTGGACTCTGGCGCGATTCTCGACACTTCCTATCAACGATATTTGAAGACTTTTAGGCCAAGCCAAACAATTAAACTTTCCCCAAAAGAGGACGTGCTGGCTTTTCCTGACAACAAAGGTGATATGGTGTTTCTTCGACTGTCTATTCCACCAAATCCTTTGTTGGACGATATCAAGCAACGGGCAGTAGCTTCGTGGGACGATATTGAGCGAGTAGTCAATCTTCTCTTTAACCGGAATAAAGACGCCTTGTGGAAAAAGGTTTAGACTGCTTTGAGGAAAATCTACACAAAACTGTATATTTTCTTACATGTTGGGTTCCTTCCGGAAGTTGTTTATACCAATTGAAAGAGAATGTCTTCGTTCTTAAAAATAACTGAAATGAACCCGTTCACACGAGGACGAAAACCAATAGTAGAAGACTTAGTTGATAAAGACTTTGTTGTGATCATGAACGACAGATATTTTGAAATTGATTTTTCAGTTAGGATATTTCGTAATGGATTTAGTGAACAATAACATGAACAACTATCATCAAGAACATTGTTTAGGGGAAGCGACTAGACTTTGCTTGGAGCTGGTTTAGAATGGAGAAGTAAGACACCTCCTTCCTTCCGTTTGTCTGGGAGTTCACCTTGGGCAAGTGATAGCACTCCTTTGCCTCCCTAACTGGGGTTACAGTTTGTTAAACAAAACAAAGATGATATCTTGAATACACCTGCAACAGCCTCGTCCCCGGCGCGTGTTTTATTAATCGGTGTTTTATTAATATTAATCGCGTAGTAATGTTTGTCTCGCGTGAGGACACGCACGAAGCGACAGCGTGGAGGAGAACGCGCCTGGCAGAAAATGTTTCGAAAAGTGAAATTTGTGTCGAAAAGTGAAATTTGCATTGTTGATAATCTTTGATACCTTGAATAAGAACAGCATTACAGTATTAAATGGTTGAAGAACTTAACAAATCGTTTGAAAACGTGAATATTGAAGGTAAATTCTTATATTTTCTTATATTTTCTGCAATCGCTAATAATACATCTTCGGATTCTTCGAATGTTTCTTCCGCCATCTTGAATACATTTTCTGCCAGGCGCGTTCTCCCCCACGCTGTCGCTTCGTGCGTGTCCTCCCGCGAGACAAACATTACTATGCGATTAATACTAATAAAACACCGTTTAATAAAACACGCGCCGGGCACGAGGCTGCACCTGCAAGAAACAAGTCCTAAAAAACTGTGACCAATGTCAGTCGTATGATGGTGTTGTTTAAGATGTTCATTATGGTAGTTACAGTCATGTTGGTGGTGATAATTCTCATCTATGATGGTGTGGTGCTGGTGCTGGTCTCTACGATTGTGCTGATGGTAATTGTGCTGGTTATGGAAAATAATGGTAGAAATTGTAGTAACTGTATTAGCTGTATTTTGCTCTTCAAGTTTGATGCTGATGAAAAAGAAAGATAACGGAACTCAGTGACGTCATGCAATAGAACGATAATTGGGGGTGGGTGAATATTCATATATTCAGTTCTGCCCGAAGGATTTCTTTTGTAAGTGCAATGAATAGCTTAAAATAGAAATCCGTCGGGTAGAACTGAATATGTGAATAAACACCACCTCAATTATCGTTCTAGTTACGCTCCTAATGGAACTACAAAAACTATGTACATTACGAGGAACGTTCGTTTTTTAGCTGGGAAGGAAGATATTTATAGTCTGAAGTGGGGCTGGAAAATTGTAAAAATTTGACTGAATTTGAATAATATTCAGTTCAAGACATCTGATGTTCATGAAAAAGAAGGTCACGAAACAACAGAACAATTATGTCTTATATAGGCGTGTTTCAAACCTCGTTTTTTTTATCTTTAATGCGTTCAACATTGCGAATTTAGAAACCCTACAGATGGTCGGTATCGTAATTTATTATACTCAAGCTTAGATTTTTATTTTACCCTATAGGTAGCTTATTTGTAAGCAAACTAACATCAAGTGGTAAAATAGGATTTTATGATTTCGAACGTGCCTGGTCTACACAAGAACACATGACAAGAATACTGCTTAATAATTAAATATTTGCCTACTGTCAGCATATATTGTAAATTTTTTTAATGCGTTCGACACTTGAAAGAAGAACGACGTTTGAAACAGGCCCTAACTGACCAAGAACAAGAATTTTAAGAAATTTATAGGACCAGATTATTCATAGAAAAGTTTTTGTAGTATTTTTTGTAGAAAATAATACGCGAACTTTTTAATTCCTAGTTACAAGAAATCCCGTTCTCCACTTGCAGAATTTATTCTCGCGAACTGATAAAGAATTAGGAAGCGATCCTACATTTTCGCGGGAAATTTCTTCGCGGACCAATCACGTCGCAGGTTTTTAGATTCCGGTTTGCGTCGCGCGAATAAATTCCCCGAGTGGAGACCTAACTGATGTGAATATTTTCTATGAGAATGAAATATCTGTATAAGGCATACGAATGGCAGAGCTTTGTTTTGTTAACTAATAGAAAGTGGTGTCTTTAATAAACGAACACGCAACTATATTGATCTGTAAGCAAACTAATATCAAGTGTTGAAATAGGATATTATGACTTAGAAAGTGTCTGGTACACACACAAGTACATATCTGCTTGATATTTAATCATAGGCTATTGCAAGCATTTATTGTAATTTGCATAGATTTGTAATTTTGTAAACAATTTCATGATTTCACTTTGTTGACTGTTGTTGAAATTCTTATTTCGGTGTTTGTCTTACATCCCTAAAGTTGTCTTGTGTGATATCAACTTGGAGGTAATTATACCAAGTACCAGGGTTGTTAAAAACTAATAGGATGACTCCATTTGGCTACTTTATTTATCCAACCCTGCCAAGAACAATATTCATCTTGAGAGTGGATCAAAACATCGTCTGAGTAAACTTGATATTTGTATCTTTTTTTGTGAACGTTTATGAAAATTTCTACACATTCGAGACAAAATGATTTTTGGCTTTCTGCGAGCGTCAGACCGTAGATCAGTTGACTTTTTAAATGTATTTTGTGAGCTAGTTTGAGGCTGGAGTAATTATTAAAATGCTAAAGATAAGAAGGAAGCTTCTTTTCAGGCAAGATGCAATTTGCGTTCACAAACTACACCCGTGAAATATTCAAAATCGTCCAGGGATTGCGGAGGGAGAGGGTGGATAGTTTTATGTTTTGAAAGTTTTCCTCAGTTTTTCTCTTGCGCGCCGAATTGCAAGGAATGTTTTATGACTGCAACAGTGGCTCTGACAGATTTGAATTTTCCTATTGTGGTCATTCCTCCCATGCAGGAATTCCGGCAAAGTCGAAACAATTGGGAAAAAAGTGGTTCGCTTCCAATCACTTTTCATTGCGTTCCCACGGTACTAGATCCGCTCGTCACGACATCTTTGTTTGCCCTTAAGCCTGATTCTCATATGTCACCGACGGTCGGCGATGCATTCTTTGTAGTCGTTGACGAAGTAACAAAGCACTTTATTCTCCAGTGATCACCGACAATAGTCATCACCGACCGTCGGTGACATATTAGAATCAGGCTTTATGAAACAACGATTATTAGAAAATGCTTATCAATTTGATAGATGTGGTATATTTATTGAGGACACCGCTTATAATGATCTCACTCCTTGCTCCGATTTGTATAACTGTATATTTTGTTTCTCTATATTATATATATATTACTTTTCATGTGCTCTTACTTTTCTCGCTCTCATACACTTTCTATATTATTGTCTCTAACTGTCAATCAGTTCTAATTCTATTGTCCAAGCTTAATTATCTATAAATAGCAGTTATGTATACATCACCCTTTTTTTTTAACAATATTAACATTTAACAAAACATAGTTCAATCATATACTGAATGTCCAAATCTATCCGGTTTTCCTCTGACCCGGCTCGATCGTCGTGTCGGTATTTGATCTTGATGTCCAATATTTGTTGCTGCTGGTAGTGTGATGGTATTGTTCCTCTTTTGATGACGTTCTTTCTCATTATCGTCATCACTGTCCGTATCATCCCTTGGCTTTGGTATGCGTTTAAACTGAGACACATTTCGTGTGATAACGTGTCCGTTCTTGCTTCTTGCTTTAACCTGTGAATGCGATCTGTGTGTGACTACGTATGGAACGTTGTTGTAATTCGCAGTCAATTTGTTCTGCTTGTCCTGACGAACTAAGACATAGTCTCCTATCTTAATTTCACTCTCTTTTACGTTTCTTTTTTCATTCGCATATTCTTTGTTGTATCGCTGTCTCTCCATTTCATTCTTTTTGGCAATATTGTGTTTGTTAACAATGTTCCGCTTTTTCAATTCTGGAAGCTTTCCTTTCACTGTACGGTTAAATAGTAATTCCGCTGGTGGAACTTTCGTGGAAAAGTGTGGTGTTGTCCTGTACTGTAACAAGAAACGATGTAGCTCTTGCTGCCAGGGTCTTCTTTCAATGTGAGCGGTTCGTAGCGTTTTTCCAAGGGGCTGCATGAATCTTTCCGCTTCTGCATTGCCCTGGGGCCATTTAGGTGTTGAATGAATATCTTTAATTCCAAGAGCTGTCAAATAACGATTATATTCTGCACTATTGAAAGGCGGTCCATTGTCTGTCTTGATAGTTGTTGGGATGCCATGACGGGCGAACATTTGATCTAATTTGGGTATGACCACAGAAGCTTTTGTCGAGCGTACTACTTCCACTTCGGGATATCTGGAATAGCGATCAATTGCGACCAGAAGGTATTCTCCCGAAGGAAGCGGTCCGTAGAAATCCAAATGTATCGTTTCCCATGGTCCCTTTGGCATTGTTGTCGTTGATATTGGC